AACCCTTAAAGGAATTTTCAATGTTTGTCTGGAATTTTTTGAGAAAGGGACAGAGTCAGCTCCTTTTGGCCACACTTCTTATAGTCACAGCTATATATACTAATTTATATATGCTATTTTATAGTTTGATTAAAGCAAATAAATAAAAATAATGCATAATACCTTAAAGCCCCGTCTCATTTTGTCCCAGCTTCTCAATTTGAGACTTTCTAAGGAGGAGGCAGGAAAGCCACATTCACATTAATTCATCCACAGACCTTAGAGCAAGAAAATTTGGAGAGAAAAAGATGTTACTGAGAGTTTTTTTTTTTTGTCATACCCAAAACCTGCAAGTTGGAAGGAACCTTACATATTATATAACCCAATCTTGTTTACTCCTGTAGAGACTGAGGCTTAAAGATGAAGTAATTCACCTGAGGTCCCTGTGACACCAGAGCCAACCTGGGCCACGGCCTTGGACACCTCACTCCAGCGGAGCTCTGCCCTGTGCAGTGAGCAGCCTGGTGAATGTTCTACCAGGCTCTTTTTCATTACAGGAGTTACTGAAACAACTGTCTCACAGTTGCACAGAAGCAATATATTTTATGAAGCAAATGCAAAAGTTTTTCACTTAGATTTGCCAGATGGTCTGAGAAGGGCATGAAGATGCAGAAAACGCTGCAGAGAAATAGCCCAGAGAGTCTTGGCCAAAGAGCAACTAAATATCACTGAGGGCCAACCATAGAGAGGCCTTTAGGTAGAATTGAAAGGTCCAAGTGAGTTGGTAGAAAGTTAAGGAGTTACTGAGCAATGCACAGCCTCGTGTTGTAGGTATTATTGACTTCTTAAAAGATGTTCTAAATTTTAGAAGCCACAAGATAGTTAATGCTAGTGAATTTCAGGTATTTTAATCAAATGATGTGTTTAAAATAGATATTTGTAAAAGTTATTGAATAAGTGTACTACATTGGATCTTTTTGCTTGATAAAAGTATAAGTCAATAGGTAATATTTGTAAAATTCAGAGGGAGGGAGGATTCTGTTTAAGCACCCCTTGGGCACCCCCTGGTGATGCCTTTTTCAGATATATTAGGCCAGTGGCTCTCAATAGGGATGATTTTGTTCCCCAGGGGCATTTGGTGGTGTCTGGAGACTTTGCTGGTTGTCACAACTTGGAATGGGAGATGCTGCTCCTTGCATCTGCAGGGTCAAGGCCAGGGATGCTGTTTAACATTTAATGATACCTGGGCCAGCCCCTCACATCCAAGAACTATCTGATTAAAAAGGTTAATAATGCTGAGGTTGATGTCCTTGATTAAGTGGAAGCAATGGATATGCTCAAGAAAAAGTGGAAAACCCCATGGCTGACTTTGGTCAATAGCAAACATGTCTCCCTGCACTTGTACCCTCTATGACCCTGGGAGGGGAGGACGTAAGGGCTTTGTTCTCTGTGGTGGACAGCAGCAGCCACAGAGCAAGGAAGCTGCCTACTGCCGGGATGATGACTTTGACGTGAAGATGTGGCTTTCATTGGTTGTATCTACAGAAACACCAAAAGCCATTTCTCTTTCATTACCTGTTGCAATTTTCAGCAGAGATGATTACATTGGTAGATTGGCCTTATATGAAAAACATGTTCCTGAAAAGTTTATCATAAATAAATACAGTCAGGAAACAGAAAACACTCAGAAGCCAGCAAATCTTACCCCCCGCCCCGCCCCAGTTCTTGGGATTGAATCCAAGGCACTTTACCACATCCCCAGGCCTTTATATTTTTATTTTGAGACAAGTTGCTGAGGGCCTCATAAGTTGCTAAGGCTGGTCTTGAACCTGCAACACATCTGTGTCAGCCACCCAATTCACTGGGATTACAGGTGTGTGTGCAGCCCCCTGATGCCAGTGAATCTTTTTCAAGTGAAAAAAATCCCTTTAAATAAAGTCCTGTTCTCAAAGAGGAGCACACCTATAAATTACGTTTTTAATGTAAATGCTTTATTTTTCCAGCATGTTACTTTTTTCTGTGTATGTGGAGCGCCAAAAATTTTGTCATAAAGCAATTTCTTTCTCCTTCCTTTTCCTGTCCTTTTTCTTTTCCTTTGAAAAGAAAATCAGGGTGGGGGAGGATTAACTATAGATTGTCTGAATTGGGGAAGCTCATTAATCAATCTATCCATACTACAGTTGAAAAGATGCCTGCTGGGTTACAAATTGTTAGAAAATTGGACTTGGTTCTATTTTGAAATCATTAATTTTTTATCTCATACTTTTTTTCAGTTACTGACCTTTGGATAGAAAGAGCAGGTGCATTCGATCCCTCCATAACCCTATGGGTGTTTTTGCACCAGAAATATCCGATAACACTCAATCTCTTCACTCACTTGGGCCTGGTATCAGCAGAGATAAGGGAGTGGCACTGAAGGGACCCTTTTTCTTCATCAATCACTGCCCTAGGGCCACATCCCTGGATGTATAAATCCCCAAATTACCCAGCAGGACAAAAGGGGCATAAAGGAGGAAATTTATTTGATAAAGCTACCATTAGTGTCACTTTAGTGACAGGTGATTACAGAGGTGTGATGGGCAGGGGAAGCCACTGCCTTTGAGGAAGGGCTTGTCAAGAAAAGAGACCTGGGTCTGACCTTCATCCCCACAAACAGGAGGGAAGAGGCAGGGGAGAGGGAGAGACTAGAGGTGACCCTGCCATATCCAGTATTCCACCAGTGTCAAGGAGGTGGATACTGGAGTCACCTGTGAAGGGTGATGTCACACACCATTTGTGTGGCTTTCCACATATTTGCTCATTTTAGCTTCACAGCAACCCAGTGAGTAGGAAGGAGGTCACCATGAACAGCATGCTATAAAGACCAAGAAAGTAATAACTTACCACTCAGCTACAAAGAAAGTTCTGTGATTCAACACAGGTCTTCTGACTCGGAGCCCTATGTTTCCCTGCACAAGGGCACATGTGCTTACTCAGATGGCCAGTAAGTAGCTTGGTGCTCAGTGGGAGACATGGCTGGGCTGCCAGGAGCCTTGGGTTCCAGCCACAACTGTCTTCAACTTTGTCCCCAGGAGACAATGACTAATCCTTTTGGAATCTGTTTTGTAATCTGTGAAATGAGGGGGTTGATTGAGATGTCCTTGGTCACATAGGTGAAGATAGTCCCTGCAATGACACAGGTGAAGTCTGCAGTGACGCCCCACAGAAAGACAGCAGGCAGCCTGAGGGGTATTGGAAGGGGCAGTTCCAGTGTGCCCTGTACCAGGGATTATACCAAGCACCTTCCCCATGATCTCATTTTAGGCACTCAGCACCCCAACAAGACAGATGCTGATATTACCTCCATTTAGCAAATGAAGAAACCGGCGCCTGGAAGGTGAAGTAACTTGCTCAAGGGCATTGTTTAGTCTGCTCAGACTACCATACCAAACACCACAGACTGGGCAGCTTAAACAACAGAAGTGTGTTTCTCACAGATCTGGAGGCTGGAAATTTCAGATCTGGTGCTGGCAGGATTGGCTTCTAGTGAGACTACTCTTCTTGGCTTGTAGGTGCCCTGTCCTCCTGTGGCCTTTCCTCTTAGGCACAGGGAGAGAGAGAGACTGAGAGCAAGCCTTCTGATGTCTCTTCTAAGGTTCTGTGCCTGTTGGATCAGGATCCCAACCTTGCACTAATACTGCCTAAACACAATGTCTCCAAATGCAGTTACACTGGGGGGTTGAGCTTCCACATATGGACTACAGTGGGACACACTTCAATCCATATCAGTGGCCAACAGTGGGAAGTGATTTGTAGATCCTTGTCTGCTCTCCTACCCACCACTGCATTTCCCTTTGCTTGGAGAGCCGAGTCTGGGCATGAGGACCTTAGGGTGCTATGAAGCCCCTATCTGCTGTCTCTCAGTTAGATCTCCTTCCTAATGTCTCCTGCCAAGTGACTGCCTCCTTTCCAGGACATGAGGTTAGATAGGAATCCTGAATGGTGCAAGGGACAAGTTGTGGCAGACTAGGAAATAACACCCCCAAGATCCTGAGCAGATGCTCAGGACTGAAACTAGAGGTCCTATGGGAAAAAACAAAGAAGGCTGAGGTGGATGGGACCTGGAAGAAGGGTTCCTCAATTCCTCTTTAAACCCAGTCCAGTGCTGGACACCCCCCGCCCCACTGGCTGCTGCTAACTGAACAGAATAATACAGGCGATTCCATGGGCTCCTAGGATGAGGTGAAAGTTGCTTGTCACTCATGTGTGGAAAGCTGAGAACTTGATCCACATCAGCAAGCCACTCACTGGAGCAGCTATAGTTGAGCTTGTCAGTCATTATTAAAAACTTCGCAGTAAAAACAAGCTATTCAGACTCCTGTGCAGGCTTCCACTAGACCGAACAACAAACTAGTCATCCACCTGGAATGTCTCCCCTCCATAAATTACAATATCTGTCCTGTCATTGGGGAAAAGAACACATTTTCTTTCCTACTCTCTGGGGCTTCCTTGTTCATTCTTATGTTGTCAAGGTAGGCTTTAGAAAGTGGGAAGCTTTTCCTAATTTTTCAAAAAAAAATTGACAAAGAGTAATAGACCCCAGGACATCATTGAGAGAATGGAAATGTGTCATTTTACCTCCTCAAACTGTCAAATCAAGGCAGCAAGTTAACAGAGGACCACTTAGCTCATTATAACAGAAGTAGAAAGCTGTATCCTCACAGAGGTGGTGCTCAGCCTGCTGTGAGGTGCAAGTGTTTCTGGTTATCCAAGCAATTCTCATTTTCTGTCACTTTTCCTAGAGTCACTACCCACCTTTCCTCCTCAGTGGAGAGAAAACAGGTGCATGGATCTTCCAGTGCTGCCCCTTGTCGCTGTGATAACATAGTCACTGGACACCTGCTGATTCCCCGCCATTTCTCCTCCTGTGGGCAGGGATGTCCAGGATAGTAGATGTGTCCCCATCTGCTCCCTGAGTCCACACACCTCAGCGTGTCACCTTCTTCACTCTCACACATCGTATCGCTGGTTGGCTTTCACAGGTGTGAAAGCTGTGGAGCCGTCTTCCATTCTGAATGCAAAGAAAAGTCTGTCCCCTGCCCGAGGTGCGTCCGCAGAGAGCTGCAAAAGAAGCAGAAGTCCTTCTGGCAGAGGCTGAACGTGGACGAGAGCCTGGAGGAGGCGTGCACCATGTTCGAGCTGTCCTACCAGAACACCTGACTTGCCGTCCAGGCCACTCACCCTGTAATGACCTGGCCAGAGGCTTCCGAGGGGACACCTACACCCCTGTGAGGAAGAGCACCCTCTTCAGCTAGATGTAGATATATATGTTTATTTATTTATATACACACTGTATGTCCTGTGCGTAGGTCCTGTGTAAATCATTGTCTAACAGGTCCACAGAGCTGCTGTGGCTGAAAACCTGCCGATTGCTGAGTTACACTTGGCCATGAATCTCAGCTGCTTGCTCCCAGCAAAACCTGGTTTACACACAAGGCTGTATAGTTCTGACCTTTTTTTTTTTTTTTTTTTTTTTTTTAAGTTCTTCTTATTTCTTTCTTCTTTTTCTTTTTTGGCTCTGAGGACCATTTTGTTACACAAGACATGGGAAGAAGCATTTCCTGCAGAGCAACAGAACTTCGGGTATTTTTCTGAGTTATTTATTTTTAGCCTTCTCTGAAGCCAAGGGAATTGAGGCAGGCACCATCGTGCTTTGTTTCATTAGGAAATCTCCAAACACAGGATTCTTCCAGGACCAGTGTCCTGGACAGAGGTGGGGATCATCCCAGCAGAGCCGCACGGTGGGAAGCTGGGAGAGTGTGCTTCCTCTGACAGAGAGTGACGCTCTAACTCAGGAGGAAAGCTGGTTCTGGTTTTAAAGTTAATCTCAGAAAGTTTTTTCCTGAGAAAAGAGGAGAACTCTGTGACCAATAACTGTATGTTGGTCTGTTTGCCACTACAAGTCCCAATGCCTGCCTAATGATGTGACTCTCCACCATTTTTGCCAGGTTGTAAATGTGACTCTCTTAAAACAGTTTTCCAAGGGTATTGTGGGTGATTGTTATGATTTTTTCATGGTGCTGGCTGGAGAAAATGTCCTAGGATCATCATTAAAGACATCGGAGCCTAGACTCGTAGGTGGAGTACACGGTCCGTGTCTGGGAGGAGACGAGCTTCAATTTCCTTTCACAGAGTCCTGCCTGTGTGGGCAGTTTCTACCCAGGCCTTTGAAATGCTTTATTTCTCAATGTTCACTGCACTTTCATTTTGATCTTTGTCGATTTAACCACTCTTGATTTCTACATTTTTTAATTATTTAAGAAATCAGAGTATCATTTTGAAAAGCATCTACTTTAAGCTATTAAGAAAATTTCAAACTTATAAATAGAATTAATGAATTAAATCTAATATTGTTTAAATAAGTAGATAGACACATATATAATTGCCACCTTAAAGTAAAGCAAAAAGTGCTAGTATAAATAACATATAGAAATAAGAAACATAACAAATCGCTTAGCTGTTTGGCAGGATAGTGGCCTCACACTGCAGAGCCCTGGTAAGAGCCACCATAGCAGTCTCTGTGACCCACAGCAGGTAGGACAGCACTGGAAACTGAACGGCTCCCATTCCTTCTGTCTTGACCCTTTCTTGAACAAGAAAATATGCTTCTAATGGAACAGTTCTCAGTCTTCCTTATGAGAAGATCCTGTATCTTTCACCCTGGCAGATGTCACCCATGCCTTTATGGTTTGGTCATTTCACCATTGCAATCTGGAGAGTCAGTGGTTCCCAAGGTCCATGGTACATCCAGCCCCACACCTTGCTCCATCCAGAGACCAGCTCATGATACTTCCGTCCATTTAGAGGCATTTCAGACTGACTTTTATGCAGTTAGCTGTAAGCATTTCGCCTCCCAACCTACGCCTGTTTTTTCAGCCCCAGACCACACATTTCAACTTCACAGTTCGGCACCAGGCATGCGTTTATGTTCTGCTTATACAGTAGCTGAAACCAAGGCATGAAACTTGTTAAAAGGCCAGGGCCCTATTCACGAGACACCTCATGGTGCCTTTTAATCTTAGAAAAGTAGGTTGACTCCCCCCCCCCCAACACACACACACTGTAGTTATAGAGAATGTTGCACACAAAAGAAAAAGGGTGGAAAGTCTCAGACACTTGGCAACCAGGCAAGCAAATTTGATCATCTCCTTTCCTCCTCCCCTTTGTGAAATACAGTATTTATATTTTCCAGCCTCAGAGAAGATAGCAGAACATGATCTTTCACAAGAGAATTATAGACCTGCTTATTATAAAACAGATGTGCTCCCATGGCAAAGTGCCTTCTCCCTCCGCCTCCAGCTCCCTGTCGCTGTAGCTTACTTTTGCCTTCGCTGTAATTAATGTATCTGTGATTCCAACTGTCAGCGAGGCCTTCCCAGCCCACTGAGATTGGAGACGGGAAGTATGATGCCCCCTCCCCAACATCTTCACTCTATGTACAGAATTTCCTGTCCCAGACACCCAGGATCAAACTGACAATAGTTACGGGTGACATTCTGAATCCCTGCTCTAAACACCTTTGTTTTTTTACCAGTACCCGTTTAGAGGGCTCTGCTAAATATTAGCAGTCCCTGGGAACAACTAAGAATTTTCCATCCCCGTCATATTCTGCTTATTTTCAAAAGGGAAAAAAATAAATATGCTATCACCATCAGCTACCCAGAACTGGAACTGTGTCCCCACGGCTTCTGTTTTCTCTCCTTTTTGTGCAACCCTGACAGCCTTGTTCGTGCCAGCCACAGGCCTACAACAACACTCTGCCACCACCACCAAAATCTAATAGGACAGAGTAGAGCCAGCTTAGGAGCGGGTCTGCCATGAAAATTCAAAATTGCTGTTTTGAGTCCCAAATGTAGTAGAGTGCATGAACGCCCTTACTGTTTTCAGCCCTAGCAAATTCCTTGGTGCAATGTTAGGTAATTGTTCCACTGCTTAGAAACTGTCAAAGAAAAAAAAGGCAAGTCTGTGGATTTCCAACTTCTTAAGACCAAACTGATACCTGATTTTCCTCGTGTTCCATTTTTCATCCCATGGTAAATATACTGCACGTAAAGCATAGGAGAAAATGGCCAATTAATCTTCTAGAGCTGGCGGCCAAGTTCAGGGAACTGCTTTTCACTGAAAGGCCCATTCCCTGGTGTATAACTTGAGGAAATCCCTCCTACCAGTGCCAGAAACTCATGTGTGAGACCGTCCAACCCTGGTGAAATGTTGGCATCCAACCCCCCGGTAAAGAAGCCAATTCCTAAAATAGACTTCAGTTTGCACCGCTGCAGGACAGCCTCAGAGCACTTAGGAAGTGGTCAACTAGGGTGGCTGTCCGGGGCTACCCCTTCCCAAAGTTGAAATGTCTCTACGTGAAAACCATGGAAATCCACATCCCCTTCTGCTTCACTGTCTTTTCAGAGGACCCACAGTCACTTTCCTGTCATAGTGGTAAGGGTCATCTTGTTAGGAGCTGAGGGTAACCGCTTCTCAGTTCTTTTCAACTAGGCCTACCCCCAAAAGAGAATATGGCTGGTGCTTGGGATTTGTGGTGCCCGACCCAGTGGTACCCTTCAGGCTCCTGAAAAGGAACTGTGCCATGATTCCTCCTCAGCTGCAGTGGGAACCAAGGTGTCTCTATCATCTGATTACTGAACACAGCCTGTGCTGGCCAGGTCTGGACTCCATGCTCATCTCTGCATGTTGAGTGCTCACCCCAGCTGTTAACACCAGATAGTTTCGTTCTGTACCTCCTCAAAGAGGCTTGGCTTCCAAACCTGGGGCTTTGTTCTGTATCCATTGGCCAAAAAAGGCCACATATAAATTAATTGTCAGGGTGAGGCTGGCATGATGCCACTCACACTGAACACTTATTACAGAGACAGGCATTATCTGAGGTCCATTCCACTCTGGAGTCAGGGTAAAGCCACTGCTGCTGCTCATATGTGTGTGCAGAATTATTCTTCTCCATTATCTGCTGCACTTTGTTTTTGAAATAACTAGACTATGAAATAAATCTTCAATTCTCTATTCTAATACTGCCTGGCTTCAATACAGATGTTATTTTATTTTATTACTTCTCATAGTAGATTGAGTACAATTTTTTATTGCACTTTTTATTTCTTGAGCTACCTACTTTTTTTCATACTTTGAAATAATGTGGAAAAGTAGAAAAATTGGGACACGACTGAAAGAAAAAACACTGCTCTCTTTGGCATGCAGGGAGTCATTGGCAAATCCTTCTGCTTTCCCTTTCTGGGTGCCGTACTTGTCAGTGATGGGCATCAGGGACTTCAGATGTCCTGCTCCTTGTGCCACTCTTCTGACCCAAGTTAGTGCAACCAGCTGCTCTAGGTCCAGTCCGGGGATGGGTGAATAAGTCCTGCTCAGTTAATCCAGACAGACAGATGTTGATTTCTATCGTGTGGGACAGTGTTTTGACAGTTAAGGCTTGACACCCAGCAGCCTTTTTATCAACAGACTTTTCATTTCATTGGGTTCAAAAACTCTGACTGAGGGTTTTTTCTCTAGTACGTTTTTGTAGGTCCATGGCTGAAGTCAAATCCAAGCCATTTGTTAAACTTTAGGTAAAAGCAAACCAAATGTAAGTGTGGAATATCCTCCTAAGCAAAGCCACAGTTGTCAGGGGTTTTACTTACAATGGGTTCCAAGTGGCCACGTTACATGGCCCTGTGCTCACATGGGTCCTCTGCTGTGCTGAAAGGCCATTAAATGAGATAACTGCTGCTTTGCTTTGGTTTCTCCCATGGGATGCTCATCTTGTTGGAAAGCACTTGAATGAAGCCAGTTGTTGCCCAGGGTAGAAAATTCAGGCACCTCCAGCAACTCTCACACAGTTGAGGATTGCTTCTGACTGGCCATGAACCACAAACCAGCCCCTCTCTCGTTCATTTGCTCTTCCTTGTCCCTAGTCCTGAATCCCAGCCCAGATTCAGGGCTCACGGCTAATAACCCACCCAATGGACCACTGGGCCTGTGACCCCTTCTCCATGTTGGCCTTTCCACTTGTTTCTCTTCCCTGTAGGAGTGCCTTATAGTGCTGTCTAGTGCTTCTAGTCTATCTACCTGACCCACTTGAAGCCTGCAGGACCCTTCAACTAAATATGGATCCCTTCACCTCTTCCTGGCTGGCTGCTCCTCACACAAGTGCACCTGCAGCCCACATACCCCGACATGCACGAAAGACCTTCCACCTTTGCTTAACCTGGTGCCTTAACCTCATGCATAAAGGGATTCACATGGCAAACATGGTTACAGTGGTACAAGCATTGGCTTCTTAGTGCCATTGGCGCTTTTACTAAGAGACACAACCAATCAAGGTTTTAACTTTGTTTCGTACTGTTTCTTAGTCACTCTTTTTGATTGCTTGCTTGCTTGCTCTCATTAACCAAACTCAGGGGATGTCATCTTGTCACCAAGGCCAATGGAGAGAGAAGTAAAACCAGCTATCCAGAATTGAATCAGTAAAATCAATGAACTTAATCTTTTTCAGGTTCAAAAATTACACAAACACAAGGAGTTTCTCTTCCTTTACTGTATGAAGATTTTCTTTTTATTTTGCCACCTGTTTTCCACATGGGAAGTGGAAGCCTCGTGGGTAAATTTTGATGGTAATGTCTCGGTGTGGCATGGGCAGTCCACTGAGCTATCAGATTAGGCTTGTGCTACTAGAGGCCTATGTTCTGGCTTTGGTCACCTATCAGACTTCGACTGTGAATAACTGTTAGCCACCATCGAAGAAGTAAGGAAAAAAAAAATCTATTCCTAGCAAATGGGAAAAGGAGAGGCAATGCCTAGGTTGCAAATGCAGAGTGTGATGTGGTGCTACAGAAGAGTTTCGCACAACTTGTTCTCAGGCTCCTGCATCAGATCCATGGGTTTTCCTCATTTCTGCTCATGCAGTACAGAATTGACTAAAATTTTGGCTTTGGGCTATTGTATCGCTCTCTGTTAAGCTATTTGTCATAGCTAATGTGTTAACGTACATGTGTTCTTTTTTTCTGGATTATGTTGCCTTTTGTTTTGGCATAACTTATCCATATTTTTGTTTACATAATTTAAAAAAATATCAGTAACTGTAATAATATAAAACTGCAGTTGTGTTGTTGACAAGAACCTATTGCTTTTACAGTCATCTGTCACATCATTTAAGTGCACCCATTCTTAATATATAGAATTATCTTGCTCAATAAACAATTTAGAAAGTACTTTCTCTTCTCATAACAACTTCACTAAAATACTGTTTTTGAGAGGTGGTGAAAGCCCAAGACAAGCCCCGGATATTAGTTCAAAGTCAAGATTTGAGGTTTATTGGGAGTGAGCTACCAGGACTTTAAAATATCTCTTAACAGTAGCCTTACAGATGGTCTTTGTTTTTTTGTTTCCTAAATTCATCAATCTACAATATTCTCATTAATCCTTCCCATGTTTATAAAAAATGGATTGTCACTTGTAAAAAGACACATGTCGTGTTAGCCTTATTTGCTGAATCGAAGCATGATTGCTTTTAGTTATGAGACAAGCTGCCCCAGCTCATGCACTGAATGCCCTAACCAGCTCTTCCCCAAGGCTTCCTGCTCTGGTTTCATCTTTCCTCTTCCGCACTCTCCAAATTAAATGAACACGTGCCAGGCAAAGGAACTGGTTCCATGTTTTTGGAGTGAAATAGCAAAGTGTAAAAAATAAAGAGTCGGTGTTTATGCTCCAGATAGCAGCCCTCTGGGAGTTGGGAGTGATTGAAAATGAGTGCAGCTACCTCCTGCCTGGGCTGGCCCTTACCCCTCCACCAAAAAGGCGGTGGGGCACAACAACCGTCCACCTGGAACTTTTCAAAAGCACCATTTAAACTCACTTTCCCAAAGAAGGACATTGAAAAGAGACTAGAACAGGCACCTCTGGTAAACATTTACCAAAGGTGAACCCTGAGCCTTACTCCCTGAGACACACCCAAACTGGGTCATGCCCAGCCTCTCCTACCCCACCCTCAGGAAGCCAATCAAGTCTCACGCCCACTCTGTCTAAGGAATAACTGGACTTCATCCTCACACAAAACCTGCCACAGTCTATGATAAAAAAGAGACAAGTTAATGTTTCACTGCACCAAAGTAGTCACACATTGTAGTCCGAGCCCAGATTCCACTACTTCTCAGGACAGGTGAGCTTCCCCCAGTTGGAGTATACTAGTGTGGCCGAGCAACTCCAGATAGTTTGGGCATCACCAAAGAGGAAGATATGCAAAGATGCTGTCAAAGTTCATCTCCCCCCACCCTCAGGAGACAGTGATTTGAATCTCCCTTGTTTTCCTGTTCTGTTCTTGATGATAGCTCAAGAGGATGGCTTAAGGCAGTGGTTCCCACATTAGAAATACAAAAATAAGAGCAAAATGTCAGGTGTCCTCACAGACAGTTGAATCAGGATCTCTGAATGGGGCCTGAGTATTGTATATTTTATAAAGTGCCAGGTGTGGGCTGGGATGGAGCTCAGTGGCAGAGCACTTGCCCAGCACGCACGAGTCCTTGGGTTTGATCCCAACACCACAAAAAGAAAGGAAAGGAAGAACGGAAGGACTCCCTGGGTGATTCTGATGTATTCTGAAAGTCAAGAACCACAATCCTAAATGAAGTAGACTTGAAATAAACATTGGCTTGGCATATGGCAGTCAGCAGCGGGACAGCGACACAGGGATTATGGAAGGACTCTAGAGCTTTAGTTGCCTTCCCCTTTTCCCGACAGAAACGAATAGTACTTTGGAACTTCTGCTCAAAGACTATAAATGTTTTCATAAAATCTTACCTTTATACCCCTTTTATTGTCTGTCAGGGTGCAGATAGCTTCTATTAATTCAGTATATACCAACCTCTAGAAAGCCTGGTGAATAGAAGTGTCATGACTGCAGGTGACTAAGCTGGCCCACAAAAGAGCCTCGTAGTGTCCCTTTCATTTTTTTTATTCCTGCTGGCAAGGCTGGGATCATTCTTCAGATGCATACATGTGAGAGTATGCTTCAGGCCTGGGCCCATCCCAATGTACACACACCTCATCACTCTGAATGGTAATGTTTAAAATGAAAAACTACCAGATGCCTTTTGCCTAGAGAGGCTCAGAAAATTCAGGAAATCTTGCCCGAGTTCCAATTCCCCTTGGTTCTATAGAAGAACTAGGCTATAAAACAAACCAGAATCATTCCAAATCCAGGTACCTGTTGAACTGATGATGATTTTCAATTTCAACTGCCAGATAACAGGTGAATGGAAACTTAGAAGTTCTTGTCCTTCTTTATGAAGTCAGTATCTTAACTAAAGGCAAGTATTGCTCCCTGATGGAGCATTTCAACAAAGAGTCCAGACTCTTACCAAAGGTGTCATCTGCTCCATGCCCCCGATGCTTAATACTCAGGAACACCCACAGCAGCAATAGCTTGCTACTAAATCACTGCAGGAAATAAGTGTGAAGGGGCTGGAATGCAACTTAGGAATGAACTTAAGTCTACCAGGGCCTTCCCTAGGACTTCTTCCAAAGCAGCATCATTAGAAACCACATTCCTGATTGGGTGGCGGGGGGAGGGGCGGGAATACTTTGGATTTAAAAAAAAAAAATTACATTAGAGTCTGATTAGGGTAGAGGAATCTTCTCCCAGGATAACAAAGGTCTCTGGTACACAACACCCAGGAAGCGCAGGCAAAACACAGCCAACAGAAAAATATAGTTCGTTCTTCCCTCATTTGCATCTATTCCCTTATATTTTGGACAGAAAAGTCTAGCCAGAAGAACAAATGGTTCCCATGGCTGAGCATATAGAAATTCTGATTTATGTGTACTGACATCCAATTTACCTGGACAATAGGGAAATTCATTACTCCACCACTTTTATTTCATATTCCTCCATTAAGAGCTATTGGTTTTAAGCAAATCAGCTAGAGTTCATGAGTTCATACAATATTTCAGATTCTGCCATGCAACCTCAGGCAGCTGTTGGTCTGGGGAAAATTCCTCCAGCTTTTGTCCATACTCTCCCAATATGATCTGTTGTTCTGAGGCTGAAGAGCTGCTATTAGCACTGTAATTTTTCCAAATGAACATTGAGCTAAATTATCTCAAATGTATAAAGAAACATCTCTCACTATGTTATGGAAAATTGCCTCCCAAATTACAAGACTATACAAAGCACATATTAATTCTGGGCCCAAGGACATCCAAATTGCCTTGGATTCCATGCTGCATTGTGGTAACACTCTTAATAATGTCAGGCTCAGGATATCACAAGGTGCATGCTGTTATGAAAATAAAACGGAGTTTTTCTCCATTAGGATCACCCTACACACACCCAAGCCCAGCTAGAGGAATTTTGCTCTGAGATTCACGTCTTTTGCAGAAGAAATAAATTCTAACTGCACAAGCAGGGAGTGAATTTGAATTCTAAACTGTATCAACACCCCCCCACACCCCCAAGATGGCTTTCTTACTGCTGCCCAGGAGTGAGGCAGCCTAGAAAGTAGATGGTGGCAGTCATTGTGCCTAGGGAAGATGCTACCGAGGCGTCAGAAGTAGCTCCTGCTCAAGAACATTCAAGCCCATGCCAAGATCAAGGGAGATCAAACCCAAGACCTCACGCATGCTAGGCAAGTACTCTAACACTGAGCCACGTCCTCAGCCCTTTTTATTTGAGACACAGTCTCAAAATAAAAGCCAAGAGGCCATCCCAAACCTAGCCAAATCGATGGACATTCCTTGGTATCATCTCAATTCCAAATAAAATGTATCTAATTGTTTCAGAACATCTTTTCTTGTTTTGTTTGAATAGCTGGTCTTTTTTGAAAAATAGAAATAAGAATTCAAAGTACTCCTCCTGAAACCTTGATAATATGTAAAGAGTGGGATACCTCCATAGCATCTCTGCCCCCTTAAGAAAGATAAGGCACCCCCAGTCTTCCTCTGAGGGCACTATCCCTTCTCTTCTCATTCAGGTAGTCCTGCCTGTCCATCCAAGTCCCTTCCTTCAGGGTAAGATCTTACATGAATCTTGGCAGCAGGAATTTAAATTTTGTGGGAAGCTGGGCGTGCATATAGGAAGGCAGCTTCTAAAGAAGATGTTAAAGAGAGTGTTAAATAACTGACTCATTGAAACAACCTGCTCAGGAAATAGGGTGAGATCCTACAGAGTTGAGTGGAAAAAGAAACCAGCAAGCAAGAGTTCTTGTCTAGTCCCTAGCACCGTGTTGAGAACCAAGGCATTCTGAACCAACAAGCTTGTCCTCCTAAGCAAGAGCATTGCTCCATTCCTGACCTGTCTCCAGTGTCACCCTGACCCAAGGATGTTAGGATTCAAACACCCTTATTCGGTTCTTGTCCTGGGTGAGTATTAAATATTTGTGAAATAAAATTAAAAGGCTCAAAATTCTATGAGAGAGGATTTGCCTAGTAGATCCTCCCAAATAAAACAAGCTGTCCAGATATTTTCTATAAATGTCATTGTTTGCACCATGTTTAGATACACAATCAATCGTTTTTTCCATCAACATAAATAACTATTTGATTCAGATTGTTATCTAAAGCAGGCAGGAGGAGCCCACGAACATTTTTCATTATGGTCCAAATTTTTCAACTTTAATTTCCCCTTTTGTTGATCTCGGGCCACAAAAAGAAATAGATAATGGAAGAGATGGAGTTTCCTGCTATGATGTGAACACAGGACCACAGCCAAAGTGACCATTCTCAAACTTCCGTCCACGAAACAGCAGTATGAGTGTTAGTAGGAATGTGTTGGAAATGCACGTTCTCAGGCCTCACCTAGAGCTACTATCCAAGACACTCAGTGTGGGGCCCAGGGATCTGTGTTTTCATCATCTTACACACACACACACACACACACACACACACACACGGGATTGTACTGCATACTGAATCTGAGACCTACTGTGTGCTAGGGGAGCTTTACCAATAATTTGGCCCTCTCTGCCCTCATTTAGGGAGCAGATCTTTATGGAGCCTCCTGTATGCCAACTCTCTGTGAGATGCTGGGGATTCAAAGACACAGAGACACAGCCTGCCCTCCAGAAGTACAGAGTAAACTGCTGCTGGGAGATCAGCTCTCAGGAAGGTGGGAAGGACAAGCTCTCAGTCCAGCCCTTAGATTCCTGGCTTTCATGCTGGGTGAATTTGGTCAAGTTACTTAACCTCTGGGAGTGACTAAGAAGCCCCATTTCCTTAT